TCTCTCTCTCTCTCCTTCTCTCTCCCTCCCTCCCTCTCTCTCTGCCACCTCCATTCTCTCTTCCCCCTTGGGGCTTCCAGGTTGCCCTGATGGAGTCCCATGCCTCCTCCTCCTCCTCCTCCTCCTCTGATTTGGCTCCTGGAGGGGCCAGCACAGGCCACAACACAGACACTCCTCCCCCTCAAAGGGACCCCCGGGCCCAGCCACACATCCGGTGACCTCTTACTTGAGGGGGAGCACCGGCCCCCCAAAAGCTCAACTTGCAAAGAGTTAATGATCTCGGCCGCCAGACTTGACGGAAAAGATCAGGTAGGGCAACCTAAACCTGTTCTGTTTAATCAACCCTTCGATAGCGATTGAATCGGTAAATCAGGTTCAACTTCACCCACAACATTTCAGGCTACATTGGATCCAAATGGGTTGATTCATCCTTTTCTTTTTGTCTTCCACAACTGTAACTAAAATTAACTGAGCCCCTCACCCACAACGCTGCCGAAAGACATTTTGTCACGCATCCTGGTGGGACGGTTCCGAATGTGGACAATGGGCGGTTTCTCTCTCTCTCTCTCTCCAGAATACAGGGATATGCTACCCCTATTCATGGAGGCTCCACTTAGGTCCCGTATTTAACACGCCTTGGTTGAACCCTCTCGGCCATACGCCAAAAGGAGGGACCGGAAGCTCCTTGGCACCTGGAGACGCCCATTTTTGTCCTGAAATGTCAAAAGGGTTTGGCCTTCCCGGTTTCCTGATCCTTGGCTTTACCAGGCAATCTGCCGCGACAGACAATCCTCCTGCCGTCCACTTGTTTTCTTTTAATTCTTAGCAAGACTGGAGCGTTAATTAAAAAAAAACCTGCCAAAACCCCACCAATGCTGCTCTGATCTCCGGATGCCAGCCGGGAGCTCAAAGGGTGGCAAAGAAAGCAGATGGCCCTGAAATCAACCAGGGCTTAGCCGCACGATCCTCCAGAAATAATGGGGGACGGGAGAGAGGATAAAGGCACCGTTCGGCCCGGGGCTCTGTTTGGGGAACGAGAGGCATATCCCTAGAGGCCAACAACTCACAAAAATGTGCAATGCAAGACACACACACACACACACGTCGTTTCCGCTGCCAAACCCCCTTTTCTGTTTTTTTTTCTTGGAAGACGTTTCACTTCTCGTCCCGGAAGCTTCTTCAGCTCTGACTGGATGATGGTGGGGAAGGGAAGGGTTGATACTCTTTGCAGACAGAGCTGGTCGTTTGCGTCCTTTTTAGAGAGCCGTTGAGGCCTGCTGGGTGTCCTCAGAATCACCCGAGTGGTGCAAATGGATGTGGAGCCTTCTACGACGCAGCTCCTTTCAACGGTTCCAAGAAGGCTCCACATCCATTTGCACCACTCGGGTGACCCTGAGGACACAGATAAACCTCCAAGTGGCCTCAACGACCCTCTAAAAAGGATGCCAATGACCAGCTGTCTGCAAGGAGAATCAATCCTTCTATTCCCCGCCATCCAGTCAGAGCGGAAGAAGCTTCTCTGATGAGAAGCGAAACGTCTTCAAGGAAAAACCAGAAAGTCCAGTTGCCTCTTGGGGGGAAAACAAAGCTCCTTTGGGACAACCATGACCTGATTTTAGCTTCTGGGAATCACATTCTGGGTGAACTGACACAGGGGAAAATAAATGTCTTCTCACTGCTGTAAAATGTGTGGACTTCAACTCCCAGAATTCTGGAATTCTGGGAGTTGAAGTCCACACATCTTAAAAGCCGCTAAGGCTGTAGAAACACGGTTTCATGGCTGTATTCAGACCACCTTAAAAAAAAAATAATCCTTGCATCTCTTCAAAACCACGGATTGCCCCTTTGCCGACCTCTTGAACCTTGCCGGATCTCCCCAGTTTGCTTCCCAATGACTTACGATGGAAGACAGATCCACATTCACCATCCGGCGGTCATCCAGGCAGACGGGCTGAAGCCCTGCGACGTTCAGCTGAATGGACGCGGTGCGGTAGACGAATCTCAACAGCCAGTCTCCCCTGGTGGAGGAAGAACGAGACAGGGAGGATCTTGTGCTTCTCTGGCCGCCTGTGCAGACGGCAGCGGAATCGGACGAGGGTCCTGCATCCGATGGAGAGATGGGGGCCAGGACCATCTGGGAGTGGGGTGCTGCCTCCGAGCCTTCACAGTCTGGCAGCGGTGAGGGAGAAGAGCAAGGGGAGCCTGTTCCCAGCGCCTGTGTGCACAGAGCTGCTAGAAGGCCGAGAGCAGCTGAGACAAAAGGGACAACTCGGGAGTAAGGCTAGGAGATGATTGCCCCTCCCATAAGGTATAAAGGACAGGCCAGGGTGAAGAAACCTTTGCAGGAAGCAAAGTCGTTCACTCTGTTCGGATTCAACCTTGAAGCTCTGTGCGGACTTTGTACTTCGGTTGGCTTTTTACAGTTCATTTGGCACTCTAGTTGTTTGGGGCAATTCAAAGGAGAGAAAGGTGGGTGCTTATCTCGAGGGACTGTTTGGGACTCATTACGGGCTGGGAAGGCACATAATTCCCAGCGTTGAAATAAAACAAGAGTTGTTTGGACTAAGCGTGTGGACTAAGCCTTGGTCAGAACAGTGGAACGGGGCTGGATTCACATCCTAGCTAGAGTCTGGAGAACACGTGTGGGACATGGGACTGACATCTTTAACAACAGAAAGGCTACCAGCCAGAGCCCAGGATGGGCCGAAGATGCAATCTGCCGAAATGGCAGTAGGCCACAGTTCTCTCTCCATTCACCCAAGACTGGCCACAAAGGAGATTTTAAATCCCAGAGCCTTCCTGATTCTATCTCGCCAGTCATCTGCAAACAGGTTAACTGTCATTGTGCATGCAGTTCCTATATTTTGGGACACAGGTCCCCGAATCTGTGGGCTGCGGCCCATGACCGGGATGTGGCCCGTTCAGAACTGGGTCACGCAAGTGGCTGGCCGCCAAGCTGATTAACAGATTAACAGAGTTGGAAGAGACCTTGTAGGTCATTTAGTCCAACCCCCCACCCAAGCAGGAGACCCTACACCATTCCCGACAGAGGGCAGTCCAGTCTCTTCTTGAAAGCCTCCAGGGATGAAGCTCCCACAACTTCTGAAGGCAACTTCTGTTCCATTGTTGGTTGATTGTTCTCCCTGTCAGAAAATTTCTCCTTATTTCCAGGTTGAATCTTTCCTGGATCAGTTTCCATCCATTATTATTCCTTGTCTGGCCTTCAGGTGCCTTGGAGAATAGCTTGACCCCTTCCTCCTCTCTGTGGCAGCCCCTCAAATACTGGAAGGCTGCTCTCCTGTCTCCCCTGGTCCTTCTCTTCCCTAGACCAGCCAGGCCCAGCTGTAAAGGTTATGGACCACTGCTTTGGGATATAGATTAACCAGGGGGGTGGGGACACGAGGACGACTAAATTTAATCTTCCCAATATTAAATCCAACCAAAGAGAACTCCTTTCAGAACATGGGTGGAAACTAATCAAGGAAAGAAGCAGCCTAGAACTAAGGAGAAATGTCCTGAGAGTAAGAACAATTAATCAGTGGAACAACTTTCCATCAGAAGTTGTAAATGCTCCAACACTGGAAGGTTTTAAAAAGATGTTGGATAACCATTTGTCTGAAATGGTATATAGGGTTTCCTGCCTGAGCCTCTAAGGTCCCCTTTCCTGCCTCTAAGGTCCCTTCCAACTATTCTATTCTATTCTATTCTATTCTATTCTATTCTATTCTATTCT